AATAAAAGAGAGTGGGACATATGGATTGTATAGGGTTCTATAGATTGTGTCCAGCGTCCCACCCACCCTCTTACTTGTTGAACTGCAGAATCCAACACAATGAATTGTGATTGTTGCGACTTTTGTGGCCCTAAAAGCTGGTCCTGAAGGACTGAGAAACACTCAGGGCTTGTATTCAAGAAACCTTGAGGACTTGTGGGGGGGGGAGGGGTCCATTATAAAAACATGGAATCGATCATAATAACAGTGTTGAAAATATCACAAAACAATGTTAAATACTTTAATTACTTGATGCAGTGCTGGTGTGACACTGGATTTAGGTCCAAATCACATTTTAAGTGGATCATTATGGGACATTATCTTCCCAGCACAATCTTTTTTCAAATAGAGCATCAGGCTCAAAAAGGCATATCACGCTACCAGATAAATTCAGGGAGATTATCTATGAATAGATGGTCACCGAGTAATCCAGAACTGAACTCTGGTTTACATCAGCTACTTCCCTTAATTTTACCATGCTTTTTATTTGAACTTTGGGGAAAGCTATTAGTGAAGATTCTTTGCTTACATTCTACTAAATCACTGAAGGTCAACATTTCGTCACATCTTTTAACAGCAAAGGAAACAGCACTTTGCATCATGCTGAATGGAGGAAACGATGCTTTGTATCCACTTGCTGAATGACTGCATGTGAAAAATATCTGTCTACATCAATGGTAAGCAGGGGACCACTCAGAGAATCAACTACTGGCAGTATATATGAAATTAACAAACTATTTTACTGTTTCCCTTCTTGAAGCAAGCTAATTCTACTTTCATGGCAGTGTGTATTGAATTAATTGAATTTAAAGCAAAAGCAAAGCGTGCTACTTATATACCGCCCCATAGTGTTTCAAGCACTCTCTGGGCAGTTTACAAGTTAATTATGCAGGCTACACATTGTCCCCCGCCCCCAAGTGAACTGGGTCCTCATTTTACCAACCTCAAAAGGATAGAAGCCTGAGTTAACCTTAAGCCAGCTACCTGGTATTGAACCCCGGGTCGTGAGCACAGTTTTGGCTGCTGGACAGAAGTTTAACCACTGCGCCACGAGGCTTTTAAGAAAGAAATTTAGTTCCATTTCATTGGATTTGTATGCTTTAAATGGTTGTGCACAGTAAGCCTTCAGGAAAAAGCAGATAATACATCTCAATAAATAAATATTTCAACCCTACAGTAAGTTTTAACATCCGTGTTTCTAGCCTTGGCCAGCAACTGCTCTCAGTGCATAAACAGACTGGCAAGAGCTTTTTGGCTAAGCCACCAAAATACTAATATTTTTTTGTGGGTGAGAGAATGGCTATGACAGTCAAAATCCTGTTGCAGATTTGGGCTAGCAGAAGGCCAGTGGCATAATCTGGAGCAGTAAATTGCTGCTAATTAACAAGTTGCCCCTTGAATTCCTCACTGGGCATCAAGCGGATAGCTTGGCACACGACCAAGAACAGAAGCAATGGTTTGTTAACAGGCACCAAATGGGTGTTGCCAATTATGCCCCTGCTCTTCGGCCAACATAACTCCATAATAGGATTTTGGCCAAAACTCTTTGCGTGTTTTTAGTTCCTTCGTCTTGGGAAGCTTCACCTCCTGTAAACCTCCCCCCCCCCTTTTTTAATGCTGCATTTAAAAGATCAAGTAGCGACCCACCTATTCCAAAATCCAGCATTATTTTCATAGTTCTGAGGCACAATGTTGGACAGATAGAACGTCTCTGCCATGGCCTTCTATATTAAAAAGAAAGAAGACATTAATTGAATTCTGAATGGATCAAGACCTATGTAAGCACTCAGGATTACACAGAATAAAATGGTGAAATATTAAAGTATGGCTCTTTCACTGACAACTGTCAAGAACAGATACATAGAGAACAACATGCTCTGTTATCATGCCATCATATGGGATACTACATTTCAAGAATGGAATTTTCACATTGTCTACTTTTTATGATTATTGACTTAGAATGACGGGGAGCTGGCTTTTATTGAATTGACAGAATTGGTCCAGCCAGCCCAGCATTTCCAAATCTAACTGGCAAAGGCTCTCTGGGGTTTCAGGAAAATTCTGTACTTAGCCTAGCTGGAAATGTGGAGGTTTTCTGCATGTAAACGATCTGCCCTAGCACAGAACTGCAGACTCTCCCTATTACAGCATCCAAGACTTCTTGCATCTAAATATTAAATAGGCTTAACCCTACTTTGCTTCAAAAGTCAGATGACTGGACAAATTTGAGATGAGATGCTACTTTTCCTCTGCTTATTATGAAGTGCTTACAAAGAAAGACATTGGTCCATATGCACAGACCATTTTTACAGGTTCAGGAATTCTGAATTTTTTTTGCAACTCCATGACTTGAACTACTATTTAGTTCTGCTGAAAACAATAAGGTTTGACAGGTTTTCAACATTCTTTCCCCTTCCTTTCAAAGGAACAAGAAGCCCCAAATTACAAAGAAGTCCTACTGGTGAGTATTTGTTATCCCCCGCTGGCGCCATATGACCTCGTGACCAGCCACTCCTTATGTAGTCTTCATTCATGGCGCTGAACACTGGAGAGATGTTAGGATCTGGTCTAAATTTACAGTGTTTCCTGTCTGCGTTGCCTGAGAAACAAGACACCGAAAACTTGGTAAGCTTTCCCTCAAAACACAGACAGACGCGGATACACACGGGAAGACAGAAAGAGCAAAATAGAAAAAGGATCCTGGCACAATTCACACAAAACATTGGCAAAGTTAATCAGTGAATCCAATAATTTCATAAGCTCTATCCTCTTTTCTACCTCGTCATCTTAAGTAGTACTTGTACTGATGAATGGCTAGTGAAGTACCTCTAACCCGCAAAGCAATTAAAGGTTTTTAAAAAATAGATAGAAGAACATAAGATTAACTTACCCAAGGTCTTGTGTTTGGAAATATGTTCAATTACCCATTTGGGTATGCGTTTCGTCTGATCGTAAGATAGTGCATGGTTGGTATAATACCTTGTCTGCGTTCCAGCTGCAGGAAATCCGTACTTTTCCAACAAAGACACCGGCACAGGTTCTGAGAGACAAGCACAGGGCAAATTTCACCCTCTACAGAGCTTACAAGAGTACATCGGAGCCAAAGGAACAGGAAGAGGGTTTTTTATATTCATGTCATATGACTTAAATAGTCTTACAATCTTAGAATTGGAGATCTGGAAGGGCCCTATGGATCCTTACGGTATTTCAACCCTATGATCTTTTAAAGATTGGACAGCCATCTGTCCGGGATGGTATGAGGTGTAGGATGGAATGAGGTCTCCTTCCTTAGGTAGGGGGTTGGACTAGAAGACCTCCAAGGTCCCTTCCAACCCTATGACAATTCTATGATTCTGTGATCATTGAGTCCAGCCTGTCAAGGACCCACAGTGAGGAATCAAACTCCCAACGACATATAAACTCTCTGCTCTACCACAGAATTGTGAGATACCTAAATCATTGACCTACCCAGCAGTTCATAGCTCCCATATAAAACCTCCTTATTTAGGGTGGTTTCAAGAGTATAGTGTAGATTTATGCTCTCCTTCTTCTCAAAACCCCTCGTCTATGGACAGCTTATAATCACCTCTCCAGGGTGTTCTAGATAGAATAATAACCTTTGATCTGTAGAGCTGGACGGGACCCTATGGATCATCAAGTCCAGCCGTTCTTAACGAGGAACAGTGGAGAACTGAACTCCAAACTTCTGGCTCCACGATCAGAGACCTAAGCCACTGAGCTATCCAGCATTTCAATGTACTTGAGAGCATTTTACCCCTTCTTCTGGGCATTTTGAGGTGGTGCAACGTGCCCAGCTCTACACAGCCTGGTTCTTTCCCTGCGAGGCACAGTGTGGCCTTGAACTCTGAATTCTTGGCTCTGCAGCTAGGTATTTAACTCACTGAACTATCCAGCCAGCCTCATCTGCATCCTGAAAGTGGCCAAGAAATGGGTTTTTGAGAGCAGACATTTTGGCTATGCCTAGAACGCGGCCACATTTCCTTCTCTTGGGTTTTTTTCCCCCTGACCTGATAGGATTTTTAAAAAATTCATTACGGTCAAGACAGGCTTTTGCTGTTTCTGTTGTTGGTTCATTGCTGTTGGATGTCTTTGTTGCTGTGGTTCCGAATTATCGAAAGCATTGCAATTGTAGTTGAAGATATAAATGTTTTAATTAAATAAACAGTACCTAAACTATAGGAAGCATAGGCCAATTTCCTATTGTATATTATCAATCACATTACCAAAAGTCATAGACTTGACTATAGCTACTTGGCAAGGCGCCGGTCCTCGTCAACATGCGACCACTTCTGCAAATTCCTCTATCCCGTGTGGCAAATTGCGATAGCATACTGGCCTTAGGAAACTACTTTATACCAAGTCAGTTCATTAATCAATATAGATCTGCATTACTTATGGTGAGCGGCAACAGATCTCTAGGGTTTTAAGAAAGGTCTTTTCAAATTCTGCTCAGAAAGGCTGAAGATTGAACCTGGCGCCTCCTATCCAGAGAGCTTGGAGCCTACCATCAAGCTAGAGCTTGTTCAGCCCCAACTGACCGTTCTATAATATTATAATAAACAAAATTATTACCATGTTGGCCTTCCTGTAGAAATTTTTTAAAAAAAAAACGCACGGGGCCTCTCCTTGTTGCCAGTTTTTTGACTGGTTGCCCTTCCTCATTCTAGCTCAGCTGTCAATGCCATCTTATTTGAAATCTGGAGAGCCTTCTCTACTCCCTTCCTTTTTACCTACTGTTTTAAGAGCTAGTGTAGTATAGTGGACAGAGTGCTGTAACAGGACTCATAAGAGCTGGATTCAAATCCCTGTCAGCCATGGAAACTCACTAAGGGGAGACAATGGTAAACTTCAATGTCTCACTTATCTCATGATGTTTAATAGAAGTCAGAAGAGATTTGACAGCAGTTCTTTACCCCAATTTATCTTCAAACTTCCATTTTCTTCGTCTTCAGTTATTTATTTATTTACTTACAACCTTTCTAGCCTGCCCTGTATCACAGGATCTCAGGGTGGGTTACAGAGACGTATAAAATTATTTTAGAATGTAAGATTAAAAAAAAAAAACACTTTAAACACAAAAAGGAAGCACTCAAACATTGAAACATTAAAACCCATTGCATTAAAGCCTACGTAGGCCAGGATCTTCAACACCCCCCCTCCCAAGGTTCTAATAAATATGCTTTGATTAGGTGCCAGAATGATGACGAGGTAACCTACAATTAAGCTTCCCATGGGCTGGCACTCTACGGTTGAGGGGCCAGGGTCAATCCCATATAAGAATCCTAAGGACCAAACACAAGCAAATTTTATTATCTTGCTACATCCTTTCCTTCAAGGATTCCAAGACCTTGTTTTCCTGCCATTTTTACTCTCACTACAATTGTATGAAATAGTCTGGAATGAGAGGAAGTGAACTTCACACGTACAAGGGGGTTTGAACCTGGGTCTCCCTAGTTTTTGTGTAATATTCTAGCCTATACACTGGCTTACCCCAGAGCATGTAAAGTGACACTACAGGAGGGAACCCCATATCCACTGAATCTGTTATCCACGGTTTACCACACCTCTATATACAACATACAAATATATACAAATAACTTAAAAGCTGTCAAGATCGTGTCCAACCTTTATCTTTCTAAGATAAAGGCTGCAAAGAGAGCTTACTTTGCTGTCCGGATAAGTGAAGCTTCCAATCAGCAGGTGGAGTTATTCTGTAGAGTATGCAACCTATCCAGAATTGGTCACAGTGATTGGCCTAAAGTGGAAGCCATTCACTGGGATCTATCCCCCTATTTGAAGCCAGTAGATCGAGCAGAGACATCCAGCGCTGTGTCTTGTCCAATGAAGATCACCCACTTTCAGCCAGTGATGTCACTTGACAGCTGTTGTGCCACCACCTCCTCCCTTGACCCTTGCCTGGCCTGGTTAATCAAGTCGGCCAGGCCCATAACAACCGAATGGACCACTGCTATAATAAATGGGTCTCTCCAGGAGGGCAGGGTTCCCCTTGCCCTCAAGGAGACACTCATTAGGCCCATTAGGAAGAAACTGAGCTTGGTGACGGATGACATAGGCAATTATAGGCCTGCCGCCAATGTTTCCTTCCTTAGCAAAGTAGTAGAGAGCTTGGTCTCCAATCAGCTACACTAGTTTCCTTCCTTAGCAAAGTAGTAGAGAGCCTGGTCTCCAATCAGCTACATGCTGTCTTGGATGAGACCAATGCCCTGGATCCGTTCCAGTCGGGCTTCAGGCTGTGCCATAGCATGGAAACAGCATTGGATGACCCGCTTGATGACCTTCTGAGGGAGACCAACGGGGGCAAAATATCCTTGTTGGTCCTCCTTGACATCTCAGCCGCCTTTAATACCATCGGCCACAGTGTCCTCCTGGGGAGTTGGGAATTGGTGGCCTTGCTCTTGGTTGACTCCGGTTCTTCTTGGAGGACCATTCCGAGAGTGTCCATCTTGGAGAGAATTTATCAGCTCCGTGGCTCCTCAATTGTGGGGTGCCACAGGGATCGATCATCTCTCCAATGCTGCAGGTGGCCATTTTGTTGACCCGGTGGCCATTTTGGAACCGCCGATCAGCTGTTCCCAAAACATCGCAATGCGAAGATCGGTAAGCAAAACGCTTACCAATCATCGCAATGCGATGTTTTGCCTATTAAAACATCGCAATGCGATCGCATTAGCAATTGCAAAAAAGGTGTCGCTATGCGGATTTGTCGTTAAACGGTGTGCTTGTTAAGCGAGGCACCTCTGTAGGTGCTGCCGCTGCTGCTCCTGCTCCAGGTTGGGCTGAAATTAGAAGCCAGGCAGATTTTGAGAGTGGGTGGACGTGTCGTGCTTGCGGGTGGCCATGTTGCACTCGTGCGCATGCACACAAGCGCAACATGCCCCTCCGTAAGCGCAATATTACCACCCACGAGCGTGACATGCCCCTCCGCAAGTGCAACACACTCCCCCGTGCATGCAGGGGGGCAGAGATCCGTGTCCGCAGCCCAGTTAAAGGAAGCCCACGGACTGGTGCCGGGCCATGGACCAGGGGTTGATGTCCCCTGGTTTAAGGTATCCATTGTAGATTGTGGAATGGATCCCCCTTGGATACAGGGGCCCTTAGGCACTTGGAAACACTTGAAGAGATGGAAACTCAGTCCACTGTAACAAGAAATATTTTGGATTTTGCTTGAAAAGATTTGGGTTTTGCCTGATATGCTTGCACAGACTAACATGGCTACACTTTCCAAAACTGTAACAAGAAAAAGTCCTAAGTTCTAACAGCAGAAGAACCCTGCCAGAAAAAAAAGATGGCAACCCCCCCAAAAAAATCACCAAACACCACAAAATTTCAGAAGAAGGTTGATGAGAACCTGTTCATTTATCACACAACATTGTCTGTGTTTCAAAAGTAAAAAAAGACCATCTGCTGCCTACCATAACCTCTCGCCTACCACTTCAGATTGATTTTTATGATAACAGTAATACAGATACATTTAAGCCACCATAAAATGAAAAATATGTCGTTGGCAGCAATTAACTACTGGTGTGAGTCAGAGAAAACTACTTTCTCAATACAGTGCTGATTGATTTTTATTGTACGCAGGGAGAAAAAAGGAGGATGCTATTTTTAATTCAATTTATATTTACGAACAAATCATAGGTTACTTTGTTTGATTTTTGTGCCATGGCAAAAGAATTTTATGCCTATCAAAATGTATTATTATTGCACAAACAAAGGCAAATAACTGTTAAATGTAGCTTGTTTCCATACCAGTTGCTAAAAACAGAATTTAAAAACGAAAACCTGTACTCTATTCCATTGTGCACTATCATTTCAATGTGTGCTTTAAAACATAACAACCAGAACTCACAGGGCATATTAATGCAAGAAATATTAAAAATAGATTTCTGCAGTATATTTTCAAACTCTCAAACTCTCTACATTCCACAGATCACCTGAAAAGGCTGAGGATCTCTGAACCATTTTCTAAACCTTTTTCATTCCAAAAGTCAAAGCACATACTGTACATAACTCATATTTTAATATTTATTGTCTTGATCACTGTCATCAGCAGCAGTGCCATATTATGAAAACTACTGGCCAAAAGGCAGACTGCTGAGGAGGGTCTCTTAACGAACAAATTTTACACGAAACATTGGAAACACAGCATTACGAAAATAACTAGTCCTACTCTACACCTTGGTAGATTATTTGGTCATCTGTCCTTTCCTTGCAAAAGAAAAGTCTGTCAACTGGGAAGAAAATTCCATCTGAAGGCCAATTTTTAAAAAAAGATTTTAGTTTTAATTTTTGTCAATACCTATGGCTAGCCAAATTTTGACTCAATGGTGGAGCAGAATTTACAGCTATTTTGAAATTTTCAAAATTAGGCTTTCTGATTAGTCCAGGGAAATGTCATTTTTTTGCTGTACCACAAAAAAATAGTCTCCTCCAGTCTCACAAAACTATCTTTTACAGCGTACACAAAATATATAAAGTAATATAAAAGAAACTGGTAAGTTGACTGGTGAAAATATATAAAGTAATATAGAAGAAGGGACGTGGTGGCGCTGTGGGCTAAACCGCAGAAGCCTGTGCTGCAGGGTCAGAAGACCAGCAGTCGTAAGTTCGAATCCACGCGACGGAATGAGCACCCGTCGCCTGTCCCAGCTCCCGCCAACCTAGCGGTTCGAAAGCATGCAAATGCGAGTAGATAAATAGGTACCACCTCGGTGGGAAGGTAAACAGCGTTCCGTGTCTAAATCACACTGGCCATGTGACCACGGAAAGATTGTCTTCGGACAAACGCTGGCTCTATGGCTTGAAGAGCGGGATGAGCGCCGCCCCCTAGAGTCGGACACGACTGGACAAAAAATTGTCAAGGGGAACCTTTACCTTTACCTAATATAGAAGAAACTGATAAGTTGACGGGTGAAAAGGCCCTTAAAAGCAAGAGGTTCTGTAGCATTTCTGTGCAAATCTAAAACATCCACAACCCACAAACTTGAGTTTTGCAGATGTCCCAGACTTCCTTGTATTTGCACTCCCATCAATCTCAGTACACAGGTAAGTGAGGTCTTGTGAAGGGCATATTTTTTCCCTCACACACACAAGCACGCAGATAGGTGAGATAAAATATTTCAATCAAAGGACAAAACTTCATGCATCTGGCACTTCTGCCTTGTCGGACTACAACCCCCATCAGGCATAGGCTAAGGGATGATGGAACCTGTAGCACAGCAATACCCGGAGGGCCAAAAGTTCCCTCAGTTTCAAGATCCCGTAAGGTAGTACTGTCACCTCTTCGACGTGGCGGCTTGCAACACAAGAGTAAATTAACCCCTCAAAAGAAGGGAAAAGTGAACACAGAAAGGGCCGCCATGACTCTGAAACGAGCGGAGGGCACACCATTGTTGTTGTTATTGTTGTTATTATTATTAAATTACATCGGGGTGTGACAGTTGTTGTTGTTGTTATTATTATTATTAAATTATATCGGGGTGTGACATGACTTGATGGTTTTACTATGTGAACAAAAAAGCCAGAAAGAGATAAAGCCCTTTTCAATTCGTAAATTAATCTGGTCTTCATGTATTCTTCCATAAATCCATGCGCACCCAAAACACACACCATTTTTTTAAAAAAACCCTCAGAATCGCTTCTCGACTGGAAAAGAAGCGCGCGCACCCGCACCTTCCCCTCCTCCATTCTCTGGCCAACTGCGCCTGCGCACTCGCTGCCTTACCCTCTCGTTCCTCCTCCTCCTCCCGCTCTTTTAGGTCGGCGGCGGCGGGGCTTTGCTGGGTCTGAGGTGGGTGGTGGTGGTTCCTGAGGAGACTCAGGGCGGCCAGCCCGGAAGCGGCGGCTCCGGCTGCTGCTCCACACACAAAACCGGTGAAAAAGCGGCTCCGGGTGAAACGGGCGGCCAAGGCCTTCGCCATCACCCGCCCGCGAGAGTGGGCGGAAGAGAAGCACCGCCTCCTTTCCCCTCAGACGCCGGCCTCCTCAGGTTACCTCAGGGGAGGGGAAAGCGCGCCAAAATTCGTCGGAAGACCTGGGTAGCCCGTAAGAAGAAGGAGGAGACACGCGTGTCGACTCTTCCCATCACCATGTCGGAAAAGAGACTCATTTGAAATGGGAGGCGGGCGGGAGAGCTTGGTAGAGACTCTGGACGACCAGAAAGACAAACCAGTGGGTCTTAGAGCAAATCAAGCCTGAACTGTCTCTGGAGGCAAAAATAAGGAAACACGAGACTGTCCTCCTTTGGGGCACATCCTGAGAAGGCAGGATTCTCTGGAAAAGACAATAATGCCAGGAAAGATGGAAGGCAGCAGGAAATGAGGAAGATCAAACAGGAGAGGGACTGACTCTCTAAAAGAACCCACAGGCTTGAAGTTTACAAGACCTGAGCAGAGCTGCGGAAGACTATATATTTTGGAGATTGCACATTCATAAGAGTCAGCATAGGTTGGGGGTGACTTGACGCCACAGAACAAGAACAGACCCTCAAGACTAATTTTAGCTTTAGTGTGGGAATGTGCTTTAATTCTTTGATTACGTCCTATTTGTACTGTGCACATCCATTTATCCTCTCTGGGTGGACATAACATATTTTACTTCTGTTTTTTAAAAAATATATATTCAGTATTCTTACACAGAGTGAAGGAAAGATTATTGTTGTATAAAGGGCACAACTTCTAACTTTCTCATAATATCTGGGCTGCACCCAGTGAAACTGAACATTATTGATAAGGAAATCTGGCAAGATCCATTCCTTTCTGTGCCACAAGACTCTAGCATGCACACAGGAAGACTTGCTGCAGTTACTTGCTTTTTACATCTCATCTGTTGGAGGGAAAATGTTCCTGAACATTTGCAAATTTTTGTGGGACTCTTCACACTTCAGTTTTGGTTGGCCTATAAAGGTATCCCTTTCGTATAGAGTTGGGAATTTATTTTGTACCAACACTATCATTGCATTTTTTAAAAGGGGCAACTTTATTTGTTTACTCAGAAGTAAATACCGTAGTGCTTAAATGGGCTAATGAAATACCAGGCTGCAAAATTAAATGCACTGCACTATCTGGATGGCTGCCCATAAACCTCACAAGGTGGGCAGTAGCCCATGAGAGAGCTTGTGATATAATAAATTTGCCAGCCTTTTAAATGTCACAAGAATCTCTTTTTCTTACATGAGACCAAAGTCAGTTATCTCAAACATTGTTTTGGAAAATTTACAGTAAGCTCCAGTGGTCAGCATGAGATTTACACGTGGATGAATAAAACTGATTTTAAAAAATTACTGCTTCTTGAATCATGTACGTAATGGAAGTTTGCAGTCACATAGAAGCAATACAGATGTAAAACGTCAAACAAAATATGCTCATAATTGTACTGCAATAAAGGTGGCAACCTAATCAAGCTAAAGTAGTTCCATTGGGACTCAGAAACAGCACTGCAAAAACTGCTGGTGCAACTCAAAATTTGTTATCCCTGCAACAGGTTTCTAAGCCAGCTGTCTGTTTGCTGAAGCAGGTGAATTATGGCTGCACTGTAATGTAGCAGAGCAAATCACCATTCTACAGGACAATTGTAAAAACAGGAGAAGTCCAAGCAAAAAATTATAATTTTGAAACTGGACTTTAGATCAGCATCAAATTTGCCACAGGTCTAGCACATAGTCTGCTCTTAATCGGTGTTAAATCTGGGGAATTTTGGACAAATTATCAGCATCAAATTTGGCACAGGTGTAGCATATAGTCTGCTCTTAATCGGTGTTAATTCTGGGGAATTTTGGACAAAGTTTTCAAGTTATAATTTTTTAAAAAGTAAAACTCCCCCCCCTTCAGAAACAGGTGGTCCTAAATGTCCCCAGATTTAAAATACTGTAGCTCAAAACTGAAAAGACCAGACTTGCATATCTTGAAAGAGGATGGTACCTGCTTTTTTCAATTTGGAAAGAATCCAGGCTACATGGGCTGAACTATTGACTCAAAAACAGCCTTTCAAATGGGAAAAACGTTGACCTTGTTATTAACTGAGCACATGTGGTACAGGCTTGCAAAGCAAATGATATAATGTGTCCTATGGGCAAGAGACAATGACAGATCAACAAAAGTTCAGTTATTATGAAAGTAGTTCAACAAATGTGTTTGCTTTCAAGAAAATATGGAGTGACAGGCCTCCAGAATGGGGGAGATTTTGCCACATGTATTCAAGTAATTAGCATACTATCTTGTAATGTGTATTCAAAGTATTTGTTCCTTACAAAAGCATAGAGCAGTTGTGTTTGTCCTAGTCCTGAGTGCTTTCAGTAAACATCCTGTCAGGATTTCTAAGACCAGGCTCCTGACACAAGCCTTCAAAGGGGAAATATTAGCTCTGGTCTGGGGCAATCTGAGCCTGTCAATCTGAACTCAATTGAATTTTTAACTCTATCCTGGACAAATGGATCTGTGCTTGCAAATGTGTTCCGTGTCTGGTTGTAAACATACTTAAAAAGATATTTAAAGAAAAAAAGAACAACTATTCAGAAGCCCACTCATTTAAACTCTCAAATTACTGTTTCTTTTATTTGTTGCTGGGGATAGTGTTACTTGATGTTCACAGAGCTTTGATGAGTGTATCTTGTCAAAGTTTCAACCGGTTCACCCGCCTTGTCACTAATTGTCTAAGAGTGAAGAAAAACAATAACTGCAAAGGTGTTACGTGCCATGAATTACTGTATTTTTTGCACCATAAGACTCACTTTTTTCCCACAAAACAGGGGTGTGGAAAGTCTGTGCGTCTTATGGAGCGAAGAAAACAGATTATATTTTCCTGTTTTCTTCTAAAAAATTGGTGCGTCTTATGGAAAGGTGCGTCTTATGGAGCGAAAAATACGGTAACTTCTTATGTGTGGCGACTATACAGTATGTGTGTTTTTTTTTATATATTTTCCAACAGAAGATTTAAGAACATAGATATATAGCACAGTGCACATTTAAACAGTAAGCAAAGTAAGAATCTCTAACCAGTGAACAATAAACAAAGATAATTAAATGCAAAATAGAAAAAAAAAGCCTAAGGCTCAACATAGAAGCAATCTTATATATTGGAATAATTCTTCTGGTGAGATCCTATCCATGACATTCCATTGTTTATTCATTTTCTGTTCCTTTATTGTGGGATTTTTACTTTCCACCAATTATAAAATAAATTCCAGCTGAAATAAAAAGATGATTCTTCTTGTCACAATAGCTTCATAGTTAATCTATCCATTTCTGCACTTTCTAATATTTTTTAATGATCATAGCATAATTTGGTGGATTTTCATCTTTCCAGACCTGTACCCATAATAACCGAGCTGCTGTCAAAACATGTAATATTAAATAATAGTTTTGTATATCTAGAGTATTTGGTATTAATCCTAACAAAAATATTTCCAGTTTAAATTCTATTTCCTGTTTTGACATTTGCTTAATCCACGTGTGGATTTTAGCCCAATATTTTTTTTGCTCTATCACAAGTCCACCATATATGATAATAACTTCATGATTTTTACATTTCCAACACTTATTTGACATATTTGGGAACATTTTTGCAAGTCTAGCTGGTGACAAATGCCATCTATAAAACATTTTATATAAAATTTCTTTGTAGGAAGTTGCTAATGTTGACTTATAATTTTTTATCCAAAGTTGTTGCAATTTTTCTAATTCAATATTACAATGGTGTCCCGCATGACGACGATAATCCGTCCCATTGAAATCGCTGTTTAGCATAATCATCTTGTGAAAACCGTTTCCCCATTGGAATGCATTGAAACCCGTTTAATGCGTTCCAATGGGGAAAAATCGGCATGGATTTGCGAAGATCACCCATAGGGCAGCCATTTTGCGAAGCGCTGATCAGCTGTTAAAATGGCTGTCCTGCGAAGCATGGGTCCCGAAAACAGGGAAGCCATTTTGTTAAGCTGCCGATCAGCTGTAAAAATCATCTTGCGAAAAAACAGTCTGCAAAGCACGGACCAAATCATCGTCCAGTGAAAATCGCCCATTGGAATCACTGTTTTCTGAATCCCTACAGCAATCACAAAACCTCATCATCATGCAGATTCGTCATTTTGCGAGGTCGTCGTCTAGTGAGGTACCACTGTATAGCCAAAGTTTTTAGAATATTTTAACATTGAATCTGTGATTTCTTCATCTTGTCGTTTTTAGACCATTTTAACATTGAATCTTTGATTTCTTCGTCTTGTCTATCCCATTGCAGTAACGATTTATACAATTTTTGAATTTGTTTTTCTTCTATAGTAAGTAATATTATGTCAAATGTTGTATATTCTTTATAAAAGCCTTGTACCTTCTTATCTTGATTATAAATTTATTGTATTGTATTTGCATTTGAGGCCACCATGAAAAATTAGTCCTTGGTTCTCTAATTGAATTTTTGTCTTCAAAAGTCCCTCAGAATTCGAAAGCTCATTATAGTTATATTTTCCAAGTTTAGCAAATTCGGGTATGTAAATGCTTCCATTGGTGAAACCCATCTAGGTTTTTTCACATATATTTTAGATTTAATTTTCCACAAATCCTTAAAAGAGTATTTCACCCATCTAGGTTTTTTCACATATATTTTAATTTTCCACAAATCCTTAAAATAGTATTTCTTATTTTTCTTTCAAAATATTTGAGTTTTAGTCCTTCCATACCATAAAAACGCATGCCATCCTACTTGCAGGTCGTGTCCCTCTAAGTATAGTACTTTTTTTTTTTACTTTATCCATTCCCTAATCCACATTAATGTGCTTGTCTGATAATATAAGTTCCGATTTGGCAAGCCAAATCCTTTCTTTGGCATTTTGTAGTAATTTGCATTTAATTCTTGGTTTCTTCTTCTGCCACATGAACTTTGAAACTAGGCTGTTTAATACTTCAAAAACTTTTGCTCTAGCTTAATTGGTAAATTCTGAAAGAGAAAAAGTAATTATATGTATTAATGACCTCCAAAATGACCTGTCATTAACAACTCTGCTTAGATCTTTGCAAACCAACAGCACTTCATGTTAGGTTGTTCTC